AATGTTTTAAGAAATTAATGATGGATGTGAACTGATGGTAAAGTAACAAAGGGAGGGGTGATGCATATAGAAGATCGAACAAAATTCAGGAGCATCAGGAGTGACATAGTGAAGTATTTAGGGACACCATGGAATTTTAGAAATATTTGTCATTGAACACAAGACTACAAATCAAACACAATATATGAAAGATTTTGAGAACACGAGTCTCGATGACATTACTGCAACAACTTTCTTTTTTCATGGCCATATGGCTAGGATTAACCAGGAGTATTGGCCCATGTGACTGGAAATAGATTAGAAGTATGGTGCATGGATATTGCATAAATCATGGTTATTTCTTAAAGGGAGGGGTGGTGGCGTATGAGACATGAGAGAGAAACAAACAGATAACTCCTTTTATTTAAAGTAGCAATACATGAGTCTAAATACAAATATTAGCCTCGATAACACTACCCTTCAAATCACAATGGTATTTATATTACTTTTCAAAAGGGAAATGCTACGTAACGGTATCGCGTTCGGACGGGATGCATTAGATATCTTACATGTATCATTCCGTCCAAACAGGATACCGTTTTATATTATTCTCCTTTCAAAATTTCAATCGCAACCAAATACCCGTGAAGTCAAAATAAATTGCACCCAAAATACCAAATCCACTCCAAATATTCCAAACCCCTCGCTATACTCCACGACCAAAATACCAGAAAGAAGAGAGACTTGGCGTCCTCCAAAAAAAAGGGAAAAAAGAAGGGAGATTTGCCGTCCCAATCCTGAGTTGGCCACAGGCCAACCCCAACCCAACGCGACCGGCAGCAGCAGCAGGCGGAGACGCATGGTCATCATCACCATCGACTCATCGTCATCCATCCCCGCACCCAACACCAAAGCGCACACGAGAGACAGATTTCCTTGGGCGTTTTTCCTTTCCCTTCTCTTCCTCTCTTTCTCCCCCACACGCATCCATCACCAACCGAACGGCCACATTTAATCCCACCACCACCGCCTCCTCCTCCTCCTCGCGCGGCCGCACCCGATCCCAATCCACGCCTCGCCTCGCCGCGATCCACGCCGCCGGTGGTGGCGGTGGAAGGAAGGAAGGAAGGATGCTGGAGACGAAGCCGCCGTCGCCGGGGACGGCGGGGGCGGCGGGGGTGGCAGGGGGTGGGTACCATCGGAGGTGGGCGGCGCCGCTGCTGGCGTCCGTGCTGCTCTCGTCGCTCCTCATCGCGGCGTCCCTCTTCTTCTCTTCGTCGCGGGCGCTCCTCCTCTCCTTCTCCCCGCTCCCCTCCGCGGCATCCGCCGAGCCGCTCTTCGTCGAGGCCAAGCTGCGCCAGCAGCAGCAGATGCGCGGCGCGGCGGCGTCGGGCGGGCGCGGCCGCGGCGCCGTGCCGAGGATCGCCTACCTCGTGTCCGGCTCCGCCGGCGACGGCGCCGCGCTGCGCCGCACGCTCAGGGCGCTCTACCACCCGTCGAACATGTACGTCGTCCACCTCGACCTCGAGGCCCCCGCCACCGAGCGCGCCGAGCTCGCCGCCGCGGTGCGCGCCGACCCGGTCTACTCGCGGTTCCGCAACGTCAAGGTGGTCACCCGCGCCAACCTCGTCACCTACCGGGGCCCGACCATGGTGGCCAACACGCTCCACGCCGCCGCCATCCTCCTCCGCGAGGGCGGCGAGTGGGACTGGTTCATCAACCTCTCCGCCTCCGACTACCCCCTCGTCACGCAGGACGGTAAGCGCCCCCAAGATGCGATCTCCTACCCCGCCTCAATCCAATCGCCCCCGATTGGATCGCGCAAATACGCGAGCTCCGATCCAAAAAAATGAACGCGATCTTTGCGCTTTCGTATCGAATTGGGCTCATTCGATTCTAAGTTTGGCTCACTGGAGAGCATATTGGGGATTGGGATTGGAAATTTCAAATTGTGACTGGTAGTTGGGTGGAAGGGTTGGAGGGGAAAGAGGTGATTTTTATACGTTTGCAGTTGCCAGTTGGGGTATGCAGTGATATTTTTTTTGTTAATTTATGACATGTTTACCCAACTGGTCTAGGAATTTGGTAAGATTCGATTGATTTTGCCCCTTCTAGGTGGTATCTGGGGTAGGCAAAATCTTTGGCTGTTCTTTCTTTATATGGAGGCTTCCACTTCTCTGCTCCCCTGGGCTCTGATCTTGCTTTATATTTCTATTTCGATCTACAACTACTTTCTTTTTCATGATTTGTCTTACTCGTGGAGATCATTGGTCTTGGCCTGTTTGGATTAGGCTTGAGTAAATTCAGTAAACATGTTTGTTAGAATTAACATGTATAGATGTTAATCTTACTTCTCTTGTGTGCTTTGCAGATCTGTTGTATGTTCTATCTGACTTGCCAAGGCAACTTAACTTTATTGAGCATACCAGTGACATCGGATGGAAGGAGTAAGCATTGGAATTTCGCTGAAAGTATTGTTTGTTTTGTTCATGCAAGCTGCTTGTGGCTAAAATTTTCTCTGTAGGTATCAGAGGGCAAAGCCGGTGATAATTGACCCTGGGCTATACAGCCTGCAGAAATCTGATGTTTTCTGGATTACAGAGAAAAGAAGTGTTCCAACCGCATTCAAGCTCTTCACTGGTAAATGCTTCCTCTAACCTGATGCTTCTGCATGAGCTTTCTCTTCTTGTTTTTTTTGGTTATCTGCACCACCTTGAGCGTTTGCCATTTCAGTTGCAAATTAATTACTCCGTGCATTCGTTGTCTCATGCTATGTTTATTAGTGAGTAATTGTTCATCCTGCAATCAAGTTTTACTTGCATGTAACCGTGCTAGAGACATGGAAAAATATTTTTTTTCCGGCTGACCTCTTGGTGTTATTTCTTGTTTTTATTTTGGTCGACCATGAGTCCTGATGTCAACTCTCTTCTATCAACTTACCATGTGCTAAAGAATCGAGTTGGAAGATATCAATTGGTGTGGGACTATGGTTTGGCATCTATTGATAGCATGCACTCGCAGCAAGGTAGTTAGTAACAGTCGAGATGGTGCTCAATAGCGTCATTGCAGCTCTCCAGTACAATGACGTCTTGCTTGCTGCTTTGTATCAGCATTCAGCACCAAATTTACTTTCCAGAACCAAGAAAATCACTTTGGACAGATTGTCTTGCATTGGTGAAACCGATGTTTTTGTCTTATATAGTATCACTCCAATTTCTTAACTGTAGTGCGCTAGCCTCATTTCACAGGTCATAGACTAAGATAATGTTTACCTATACTATAATATATGCTTGCCCATCTCATATTGGTTACGTTTTGTTGTATGTGACAAAGCAGCTGCTAATCTTACTAGGTATTTCTGAAAACATCATGTGATCCTAACCTTTTTTCTTTTGTTGGACAGTCAAAGTCCAGTTGCTTGTTGAAATCTTGAACCAAACTGTTACTTCTGACCACAAACTATGGTTATCCAGTTGCTTGCTACCTTGAACCAAACTGTTACTTCTGACCACAAAACTATGGTTTTCCAGTTGCTTGCTGAAACCTTGAACCAAGCTGTTCTGACCACAAAACTATGGCCAATCTTTAGTATCGGGACATTGTATTACTGACCATGCTACTTCTTTCCCTTTCTGGTTATGAACCTATGGCCAATCAATTGTGCATAACAGTTATGTTGACTGTATAATTTGGTCATTATTTTGCAAATTTCATTATCTTGCATGGAGTTCATATTTGTTAAATTTTCATCCACTTTGCACTCACAGAATGCTAATACATGCTTTATATGTATCATGTTCTAGGCTCGGCGTGGATGATGCTTACTCATCAATTTATTGAATACTGCATATGGGGTTGGGACAATCTTCCCAGGACGGTCCTGATGTATTATGCCAATTTTCTTTCTTCACCAGAGGGTTACTTCCACACAGTCATTTGCAATGTCCCAGAGTTCCGCAACACCACTGTGAATCATGATCTACATTTCATTTCTTGGGACAACCCACCAAAGCAACACCCTCACTACCTCACCCTCAATGACTTTGACGGTATGGTTAACAGCAATGCTCCCTTTGCAAGAAAGTTTGGAAGAGAAGATCCTGTACTAGACAAGATCGACCAGGAATTATTGGGCCGCCAACCTGACGGGTTCGTGGCAGGTGGGTGGATGGATCTGTTGAACACGACAACAGTGAAAGGATCGTTCACTGTTGAGCGTGTACAAGATCTCCGCCCAGGGCCTGGTGCAGACAGGCTAAAGAAACTTGTCACAGGCTTGCTCACCCAGGAAGGCTTTGATGACAAGCATTGCTTGTGAAACTTGCAGTAATATGATTCTGGGGTAGGTTACACTATCAAAATTCGAGGATGTTGCGCCATTAGCTAGTCATCTACTAGCTGAAGAAGCAGCAGCACATAGCATCAATTCCACATGGATGGAATGGTCAGATAGGTGATCTTTTTACACAAACCACTTGAGTTGAATCACCGTACAGGAGACCACGGCCGTAGCACACGGAGATTATACAGCACTAATAGCTCATTAGGTTATGTTAGAGGATTATATCAGCCCCCAACCATTAATAATCTCTTCTTGATCTCTCTGCGCTGCGGGTTGTCCAAGATGGTCCATTATTCGTTCAGAAAATCACAGCACTGACCAGATCAATTTGCCAACCTGCAGCGCTTGAGATTTCGTTGTATTAACTTGGATTCTTCTGGGCAAACTGGCACATTTTGATTACATACATGTATTCTTTGATTTCTTCTCCCTTTTCCCATTGCTGAGCATAGCGAATTACTTGCTCCCTTTTCTTGCCCCTCTGGTGGGTATGCATACTATATATATTTTGTTTTATGTGCAATTTTTAAATGAGTAGATGCAGTTGGGATGTTCAGAGAGCCTGGTGCTTTCATTGTTTTTTTTTTTTTTTGAAGTTCAAAACGCCAAAATGGGTTTCATTTCTTAGACTTGACTTGTGTACTTGACTAGTATCAAACTGCTGGAAAGGTGGATTGTAGAATGCAGAGTGATAATCAAGGCCTGCTGCCTGCCTTTTTCTCCATGTGTTCTTTTTTCTGATTTGGTCCGACACTCAGATACCTGATTGGTACTACTAGTTAACAGTGTTGCAGAGTGTTGTGACCAGTGAGTTCAATCCAGTCACAGAGGCGGCTATGCTACCTCAGAAAACAACTTTGTTTCACTGTCAGTAATTCCTGAAATCACCTAAATTTATTCGACTCCGAGTCACTGACATGCTCAATAGTTGAAGAAAACAACTTTGTTTCACTGTCGGTAAATTTCTGAAGTCTCACCTAAATTTTATTTGACTCTGAATCACTGACATGCCCATTAGCTTTTCTCCGGCCATGGCTGTGTACTCCTATGCCAGCTTAACCATCTTCTTGCCGATGTTGTCGCCGCTGAACAGCGCCGCGAAAGCCGACGGCACGCTCTCCAGGCCGTCGGAGATGTCCTCGATCACCTGGACCTTTCCCTGACGGATCCAGTCACTGATGACGCCGGTGAACTCGGCGAACCTCGTCAGGAAATCCCAGGCGAAGAAGCCTCTGATGGTGATGCGCTTGTAGATCACCTCCAGCAGGTCCGGCACGGCGCGGTGGCCGGCGTCGGTGTACTCGGAGATGACGCCGCAAAGGGCGACGCGGCCGTAGGTGTTCATGTTCGCCAGCGCCGCCTCTAGTGTCTCGCCACCGACATTGTCAAAGTAGATGTCAATACCGTCGGGAAAGTATCTGTCAAGAACGTTACCCGGCAGGATTTGTCATTTTACTACTCACCGTTTTAAATTACTCATCATTTTAAATTTACAATATTCTAATATTTGACCATTAATTTATATAAACTAATATTGTTTGATATCACGATATCTATATTTCTGAATTCATCATGATAAATACTTTCATAATATATACCCCTTCATTCAAAAAAACCAATTCCTAGCTACGAACTTGGATACATGTGTGACTAGATTCATAGTTAGGGTTTGTCTTTTTTGGACGGATTAGTAATTCTCATGTTGTTAAACTATATGGATGACTAAAAATTAATGATAAAAATAGATACAGTTAACTTACTATAAACATAAAGCGACAAGTAATTTAAAATGGAGGAAGAATTTTTTAAGATCATACGGTGGTAAGATCAGAATAATGACCTCTTCAGTGCTGATTTCATGTCAGGCTCATCCTTATAGTTGAAAGCGTCATCGAATCCAAGCTTATTTTTCAGCAGGTCAACCTGTGAATTTGATTTATAAATCTCATGATCAGGGTAGTGCTGATTCTCAGAGAATCTGTCGCGGGTTAAGATTGCAAGTAGCAGGAACACCTCAGTACTCTTGACTTCGACTAACAAAAGAAAAACTAGAAATTTGAACCTATATTGACTGAATATCAACCAATTTCACTAAATCGAAATACTTTTCCAAATTTCTGGGTCCACATAATATCGCCCGGAAAAGGATATTACAAATTCAGAAATTTTGTTCCCAAATACTTAGGCCCTGTTTAGTTCGAGGGGAGAAAAGTTTTTGCGTGTAACATCGGATATACGGACACACATTTGAAGTATTAAACGTAGTATAATAACAAAACAAATTACAGATTCCGCCTGTAAACTACGAGACGAATTTATTAAGCCTAATTAATCCGTCATTAGCAAATGTTTACTTAGCACCACATTGTTAAATCATGGCACAATTAGGCTTAAAAGATTCGTCTTGCAATTTACACGCAATCTGTGTAATCAGTTTTTTTCTATAATTTATACTCTATGCATGTGTCCGAACATTCGATGTGACATGGTGAAAAGTTTTTGTTTGGGAACTAAGGTCTTAATAAATTCGTCTCGCAGTTTACAGGCAGAATCTGTAATTTGTTTTATTATTAGACTATGTTTAATACTCCATCCGTCCCATAATATAAGGAATTTTGAGTTTTTTGTTTGCACTGTTTAACCACTCGTCTAATTAACAAAATTTGGAATTATTATTTATTTTTTTGTTACTTACTTTATTATCCAAAGTACTTTAAGCACAACTTTTTATTTTTTTTATATTTGCACAAAATTTTTTAATAAGATGAGTGGTCAAACAGTGCAAGCAAAAACTCAAAATCCCTTATATTATGGGACGGAGGGAGTACTTCAAATGTGTGTCTGTATATCTGATGTGACACGGCAAAAATTTTCACCCTTGGATCTAAGGCCGGGTTTAGTTCTCAATTTTTTTTTTCCAAAAACGTCACATAGAATCTTTGGGTACATGCATAGAGCATTAAATATAGATAAAAACAAAAACTAATTGCACAGTTTGCATGGAAATCCCGAGACGAATCTTTTGAGTCCAATTAGTCCATTATTAACCATAGGTGCTACAGTAACCCACATGTGCTAATGACGGCTTAATTAGGCTGAAAAGATTCGTCTCGTGGTTTCCAGGCGAGTTATGAAATTAGTTTTTTCATTCGTGTCTGAGAACCCTTTCCGACATTCGGTCAAACATCCGATGTGATACTCAAAAATTTTCTTTTCGCGAACTAAACACACCCTAAACACATACTCCTTCCGTTCCCTAATATAAAGGATTTTAACATTTACCTGTATTGTTGTTTAACCATTCGTCTTATTAAAAAAAATTTAGAATTATTATTTTTATTTGTGACTTGCTTTATTATCCAAAGTATTTTAAGCATAACTTTTCATTTTTTATATTTATATAATTGTTTTTTTAATAAAATGACTGTTCAAACAGTGTAAACAAAATGACAAAGGACGGAGGTAGTACGTTGTACTAGTACGAAACTGTTGCTAGTCGCTACCAGTGTCGGAGTACGTACGAAAGCAGAATCACTTTTACTTTGTGCAATGAGCTTGCGTGTTTTGGCTTACCTTGGCGTTGGTGCCGGCGCAGCCGACGACGTAGCAGCCGGCGAGCTTGGCGAACTGGCCGACGAGGCTGCCGACGGAGCCCGACGCCGCCGACACGAACACCTTCTCCCCCGCCTCCGGCCTGCCCACCTCGTACAGCCCCGCGTACGCCGTCATCCCGCTCGTCCCTGCCACATGCTCGATCCATCGATCACCGCCCGGCGCCACCGAAACACTCAGACAAATTAACAAGAATTGCATGCGTGCGTGTCGCGGCGCGCGGCGTCGGCGGCGGCGGCGCTCACCTAGTGCGCTGAGGTGGTGTGACAAGGGGAGGTCGTCGGAGGCGGCGAGCTTGGACATGAGCACGCCGGGGGACGGCCGGAACAGGGTGTAGTCCTCCCACCCCAGCACGCCGGCGACCACGTCGCCCTCCTTGTACTCCTCGCACGCCGACGCCACCACCTCGCCGGCGCCGTACGCGTCGATCCTCTTCACGAACACACGAGAAAAAATGAGCTCGACGACGAAGTGTGTGAAGGCTAGCCTGCGATAGAGAGGGTGAACAGCATATAACCTCGCCGGGGACGATGCCGTCGACGGCGAGGTGCGACGCGCTGCGGCGCTTCATGCGGTTGAGCTGGTAAGGGTCCACGGACAGGTAGAGGTTCCGGACCAGCACCTCGCCGGACTCCGGCCACCACCTCACCCTCGCCGCCTTCACCTCGAAGTCGTCCTCCGACGGGAGCCCCTCCACGTGGTGCCTCACGGCGACGTACCGGCTCTCCACCTCCATCACTCGCCGGCGCAGCAGCAAGCTATAGCTAGCCAGCAACACGACACAAAAGCTAACGCAATGCGCACAGGTGGTCGCCGAGGAATCGAAGAATGGGGAGAGAAATATATGGATCGAGGAGGAAGACGACGACGACGACAAATTGAGCCGGCAGAAGAGAACGACTGGGTCTGTTCGGCACCCAGGTTTCCAACCCCTCTCCATCGTATTCCGTACACACGTTTTTCAAACTGCTAAACAGTGTTTTTTGTAAAAGGTTTATATACGAAAGTTACTTAGGGCATCCACAATGTTGATGAAAAGTGGGTATTAGGCATTAAAATATCCTTACTACTAGGTAAGATACATTGTGAAAGTAGTAAATAGCTACTCTCTTCGTAAGACTTTTTAGCATTACTCATATTTATTTAGAAGTTAATGAATCTAGACAAATATATATGCTTAAATTCATTAACATATATATGAATGTGGGCAATACTAGAAAGTCTTACCTTGTGAAACGGATGAAGTACTACTAGGTCATATGGCTACTACCGAGCAACAAATAATAAGTTATGTTATTTGTACAATGTCAATAAGTATCAACGTATTGTTTTCTCGCAGTTGGAGTCACGGCAGCTGAGGATTGGTGAGTTTTTATAGTGGGGCCCATGTTATATCCAATCATCTTACACATACAATGTGGCGTTCATATCCTGCTACTACCGCCTGACATGCGGGTCCACGTTACTACCGAACTCGGTCATAAACATTGCTGTTGCCCTTAAAAAATCTATTTTTTTTAAAAAAAATAGCTAATACTTAATTAATCACTCGCTAATGGATTGCTCCGTTTTCCGCGCGCACAGTTTCCGGATGGGAACAACCAGCAGTGCACAGAGCCTAGGTAGGGCTCTCGTCGCGACATGTAAAAGCAATATATCATATCTTCTTACACTTTTTAAAGTATTTTTGTAATTATTTAAGTGATATGTGAACGGAGGGGACGAGCTCTTGAGAGATTAAAATCCCCTCCCTGGAGAGATCAGAGATGCCTAGGCGGAGATGCTTTCCGGTGGCGTCTCGTCATCATATGCAGGAGGAGACGATTGGTGCGAGGGGATATTTTTGGCGGTAAGCGTGCAGGCCTAGCTTGTAGCCAATGGGATAACTAATGCAAATGGAGGAAAAAAACAAACAAACTGAAACCAAAAGTGGTATAATAGACTATATGCAGGGTTAACAATTTTGGAAAGCTAAAAAAATATCGGTCACCAATAAATCCGAAATTGCGAAATTTCTGGTCTAAAGTTGTTTGAACTTTGAATACAATTTTACATTTTTCTAAAAGGCATTTTCAAGTGAAATATTTTCATGCCCGGGGCTGACAAATTCTAAAGTTTTGGAGATTTTAGAAAGTTCTCAAACTATGATTATTATTATATACCGCCTCCGATCACAACGTTGGCAACCGCTACATATACAAGTTATATATTAGGAATTGTTGTATGTCTGATGTATTTCCTAGAATTATGGTCGAGTTAACCACATTTAGATTGATATGAATTTGTTCCTAAGCTTCGTGTACTTCTTAGACCATTGCCCAACACTCCTAACTGACGTGCGGTCTCGCCCTGCCCAACGAGAATATTCGCGTCAAGAAGGAGGGATCTGCTAGGGTGCACGAATCCTACAGGAGGCACATGTGTTCTCGATAGAGCCACGCGTGAGGATTAGGCGAGTAATCGCGTTGGGAAGAGGCCTCTCGCCCTTATAGCCATAAACGAGGTCATGGTTGTCATCGTCGTGCAGATCGGGCGAGCTCGAGGACGGACTCTGCAATGGTAGCAAAGACGGCGAGGGGAATGGCAGGGAAGAATAAGGGCATATACGATGGCAAGACACTCCGTCACGGGAAGACGTCACCGGGAAGCTTCGCCAGTCATTGGCGCCTCAATCTGCACCAGTGCCAGCTATTTCACAACCCCAACCACCGCTTTCGGCAGATCCGTCGTCGAGGTCGTTATATAGGGTAGATCCATTGCCGTTGTCCCTATCAACACCACGCCACCTCGATTTGTGTCCCTGCCACCGAGGAGGGGAGAGAGGAGCTCGAGCTCGTCTTCTTGCAGGCGTCGCTAAGGAGGGGAGAGGCGGTGATGCCGCCCGACGGGAGACGGAGGAGTGACGTATAGGTATAGTGAAAGGGGAGGGTGGGTGTTTATATAAGTTTTTTTATTTTCAGAGTGCGTAATATAAAATGTTAGACTTATATATGAATAAAGAAAATCTGAGTATTTAAATAAAAATGTAATTGGCTGATAAGGGCTGAAACCAAAAAAAGACAAGTGGTTGTAGCTTGCATGGTGTGGAGGGTGTTACAACTTACAACTTCTATGTGGCATCTTCTTTTTGTTGGCGCTACGCGTAAACAACACATAAAAAAGCAAACATTTTTTTAGTTGAAAGACGTAGTATGTTTGATGATATAAAAGTTCAGGGATGAAATTTGGACCAAGGCTATACTAGTAAGTTGCTCTCAACTAGCAAAAAAAAAAAAAAAGGACTTCTCTGATTTTTTTTTTCTTGCGAGGAGGTGAAATTGTATGTTTATTAGGGTGTGGAGGGAGAACTTCATTATTTTGCACTCGAAATTTGAGTTACATATGTTGATAACTGATAAGCCTGTTTGGAGAATACGTCGAGGAGATCAACAACATTTATGCTATTTGTTTTGTCACATTTCAGTCGCCTGAAAACGCAAGAACTTTCAGTTAAATTACCCATTTGGCAATTAGCAAGGAGATGCTAGCACAGCAACAGACAAGTGGCACACCGAAGGATTATTAGAATTTGGCAATTTGATGGGAGGCAAGGCCAACTGGTTGAGTAAGTAAATGACCTCTGCCCAGTGTCCAGTAACAGTCTGTCTGACTGACGTGAACTTTAGTATTTACAGCGTTTATCAAGACTAGATAGCAGACACCGTGATCAATTAAGCTTAGGTGAATATGTGACGGAGGAGATCTCCAGAATACGAGAACGACTTCTCCGTTTCATCCAGGCAATGGTCCTTCTCCTCCCGGGTCCAGCTCTGCAAGGCCAGCAAATGGAACAATTAAAGCTTGGTTATTAGCAACATTTCAAACTGCTCGTATCAAAGAATTGGGGGAGATAGTGGCGTGGCAAATAGAGCTCCTGGACTTACAGAGGCGACTTCGTTAAGCTTGTTGCGGACATTCTGCAGCAGCTGGGACAGATTGCCCTCCCATTTGTAGAACTCCAGCTCCTTCTTGTTCAGAATATTCTCAGAGACCTAAGATGATAACAAGGGCATGATTAAACGTTTAAGAAATTCAAACAAGTTGAACCAAATGAGGTGGCAAGCATGGAAAACTGCTATTCATATGCCCAAACAAAACCGCATTGTAATAATGTCAGGTGGGTTGAAAAACCTTGACGTCTATGAGCAGCACAACTTGAGAACAGTAGTGGCAAGAGGATCCTAAAAGGGACTGCGTGCCAAAGCACTCGCTGCCTTATGTAGTATTTTCATTATCTCGACTAGCGTACTCTATAATTTTGTTAGAACAAAATACCAATATAAGCATCCAAAGCAACCGGTCAATCTGATTCCTAAGAAAAGAAACCATCTCACATCAAAAGTGTCCACACTATACAGTCAGGAAAGCGCAATGAAGCAAAGAACAAACTTTCTGTTAGTGTCAGTTTTGTTGCTTCGATAGCTAATATTCTACGCATTTATAGGAATCCATTCTGAACTATGTTACCAAAAGATAGTGAGCTTTTGAATGATATAAAAAATTCATCATTAAAAAAGACAGAAACTGTACCTTCTTCCCAATCATTCGGCCTCCAGCCGTATGAGCAAAATACACATTATAGAAATGGCAGATAAAAGCTTGGGAGTCCTTTTCAGCCAGCTCTTCCAGATAGGAAGCATATGTAGTGCCGGGAGCAGATGGTTCTGGAATTGTGTGACCCTGTTCCTTGAACCATTCCAGATCCTTCTTCAGTTGTTCTGATCTCTCCAACCCAGTATTCCTGAACTCAGCATCTGAAATACATACAGATAAATAGGAAGTCAATAAGCAGCCTCTTGCAAATATTGATGGAAGAAATCTTCTAGCTGTTTTATAGTAGTTTCAATTTTCCATCTAAAAAGAATATTACAGATTTTATGTGGACGTTCAAGTAATTATGACTCATTGTTCCATACTTCCATACAGCATAAACAAAACTACAAAAGTTCTCTATCCTGCTAAGATTTCAGGTGCAAACAAATTGCACACGGTATTATGTAGGAGTAGAATAAAGGTACTCATTATTTGCTTCTCAATTATTTACTAATCCCTCCATTTCATATTATAAGTCGTTTTGATTTTTTCCTAGTCAAACTTAAAGAAGTTTGATGAAGTTTATAGAAAAATTTAGCAACATCTACAACATCAAATTAGTTTCATTAAAACTAACATTTAATATATTTGGATAATATGTTTGTTTTGTGTCGAATATGTTGCTATATTTTTTCTACAAATTTGGTCAAATTTTAAAAAGTTCGACTACAACAAAATCAAAACGACTATAATATGAAACGGAGAAGTACTTAAGTGGAACTGGTCAACTAGCCAAACACGAAGCTACGTGTTGTTCTAAAACTCAAATGTAAAACAAATAGAAAAATCTAGAGTTTCACCAATACAGATAAATGCAGACAATCCAGATACCATAAAACTTCAGCAAGCAAGCTAGAAGATATAAAGGGTATCATTGTTAACATTATATATTATTTAATTTTCTTTGCTAGTGAAATGTTTTCCTTGCAAAATGCAAAGTAATCATCAATAAGAAAGAGGCTTCTCACATCCAACCATCCAATACACAGAGAGCTAGTGGAGGCAAATTGACGGACAACGTAGGTCCATGAAAGGGTGTAACAAAGACTCAAGGGTTAAGGACAAGGCGGATTCCAGAAAGATTCTGTTATAAAGACTCAAGGATTTCCTTCAAAAGAAATCCTGTTATAAAGAAAATGCTGCCCATAACTCAACTAGCAGAATAACTGCATGATGTGCACCCCCCAAAATTGGAGGCAACGTTTATTGTGTTATTTGCATACCAGACCATAGCAGAATAACAGAACAAGAGTATGTAAAATTGGGGTACCATGGTGCCAACATAAGCTGTTTGCAAGTACAAACCTACCGAGGTAATTCTGCACATAGCATGCCAAGTGGTAATGTAATATAAGGATTTCTAATTCCAAGTGTCGAAACAATACAATGCCAAAATACAAGACTTATACATGATTAAGGGAAGCAATACAGGAGTGTGGATACAGAAAATAACTGTGCTGGGGATGCCACCTCTAAACAGCAGAGGGAGCCACAATGAAAATTTTAGTGATTTAAGGCATCCATGAATAGGAATATAGGATGTCTCTCGAGAAGGTCGATACAAGTTTGCCCATAGAATAGGAACCAATAGTAAGGTACTACTTTAGATGATTATACCGCCAAGTGCCAACCAACTGCAAATAGACATGCACATGGCTTCCTGTACTTCTTACTTGATACATATAGGCAAACATTGATATTTTGATGATACTCTTAAAGAAATGTTGCCAGTAAAGCGTTTTAACACTTTCGAAACACCTAAACAATTTTATCAAGACCCTCCCAAAAACATATTCTGTGCCTGCCAAATGTTTTGCTAGCAGCATGCCAGGCAAGGATGCCTCTCAATGACAAAGAAATGCCTTTGTTTTATTTTAAAAAATGTGGGCTGAATGTTACTTAAATTGGATCCACCTGCACATGGCACTGGTCTTATGGTCAGTGGAAGAGCATATCATGTAACAGAAGGGGAAATATACATTTTTTTTATTTAAATTTCAGATCGGTAGCTGACTTATCCAAAGCTGATGCAATTTCCTCGATGACATGAAATAATCATAGGCTCAAAGTCTTTTAATACCTTAACTTGGATTACATATATTTTCTCAAGCATCCAAACCAAACTCAAAACAGGGGGTTTGCAAGTGCTCCTACTCCCACCATATGGCACATCCAACTTCAATTTGACATTTTCCTTCACAAAAAGCTGTGCATCCAATTTTTTTCTGGCTAAACAATTATACTATTTGACTATTCTAGAACAGAAGGTGAGAAATATTTCCAACTTTCATGGGTGTCGCCGTATGAACCAATCAAATATCATTTCAGTTCAAAATTTTCTAAAAAAAAACGTCATCCACAAAAATTCCAAGCGGTCCAAAGTAGAGCACGGAGGAGGAAGAGCTTTTCCGATCACTCACACCAGGGGACGGCGGCGCGGTCGACGATGGTCTCGAGCGTCTCGAAGACGAGCTTGCTGTCGACGAGGAAGCGGAGGTAGCCGTCCACGGAGGGCTCCCACCTGGCCACCGGCGGCGCCTGCGGCTCCTTCTCCCCTTCCTTGGCCTGGTCCTTGGTGTGCAGCCGCATGGCCACCGCCCTCATCTCCTCCACGAACGGCTTCCCTTCCTCCCCGCTCGCCGCGGGCGCCATCTCCGCCGCCGTCGCCGCCGCCACCACCATCCTCCTGCTACTGCTAGCGCTCCCCCACAACCTCCGCGCCACCACCGCCACCGCCCGCGAAGGCGAAGGCGCCCCGGCGTGCACGGACACGCCGCCGCCGCCGCTCTTCCTTCCGTGCAAGAAGGGCAACGACGTCGCCGCGAGTGCGTTGGGGGCCGTGAGCGACGCTGCCGCGGGCGCCATGAGTCCCGCCCACCTCTCTCCCTCTTATAGCGGCGCTAGGGGTCTCCGTTCCGTGCGGGGGAGGAGGAAGCGTGAAGGTGCTCGACGATGGCGACGGGCCGCGCGCGGAGGCGGTTGGCGTTGGAGTGCGGCGTTGGTGTTGCTTCTGCGGAGTGAGGAGTGCGGCGTCGGCGGCGGCGGTGGAGGAGGAGGAGGAGTGGGGAATTTTCTACGGATTAAATCGGAGAAAATCGATTAAAAAAATAATCGAGCTCGCGCTTGGTGGTGGGAGTGGATTGGAATGGCCGGGAATGGCAAGCAACCTCGGCAGCAATGGCGTCTCGAGGAGGAAGACGACGGGTAAGGGACTCTCCTTTCTCACCTACATAGTGCGTACCCATTACAATGACAGGTGGGCCCGGATGGAAGTGGGCCCGCTATGTCAGTGAGTTAGGGTAGAGGATGGGGAATGGTAGGTGGTGGGATTTCCCAAAGGGGATGGAGTGATAGATGGGACGGTCGCTGACGTGTAGGCCATGGTGGAGATGGGGGGCGGGAGGGCCAATGGGCGTCCACGTGACGGGGACTGGGGATGCGAGCTCCTCCATGTCCATGTCCTCTTTTTTAGTTCTTTATTGGGCCGGATGGGCCCATGTCGAAATGTTCGCCCATTTCTAACTGTCCTTTTTATTTGTTTTATATTATATGTGGTTAAGGGACATTTGGAAAAAACAGTTGTTATCTAGAGGCGTCTATAAATCGGACGCTGCACGAAGTAGTTCGGAATTGTTTAACTACGTAGATTAAAAAAATGTTTCAATCGTTTTAAAAGTTGAAACACAACAAAATCACCACTCATGAAACATTTTGCTGCAACGTATGAATCAATGTTTTTTTTTTGTCTTTTTTAAGTTGTTTTACCATATATAAAAATAATGTTTCATCAAATAGCGAAAGGATGTTTCAATTCACCGCAACATTTGATCTATACATAATGAAACATCACGAGTATAATTGCTGAAACATTGTTGGTGGAACAAAAAATGAAACGGATTTTCTTAATAGAGCGTTTTCGTAATATGTGGGTGATTTGTTGCAATGGCGTATGTGGTGGGGAACGTGGTGGGGACGGCACGGAGGTGCGCGCGGAGGCGCAAGAAGCGGCGGGCGCACGATTTTTCTGGCGCTGATCGAGCGCCCAATCGCTAACATTTTCCGTTATTTATTGCAAAATAAAAAAAATTAGCCCATGCATGTCAATTTTCATAATGTAGAATTTCTGTGCACAATAGTTTATACGAAGAACCGGGCGGACTTTAATATTATTCTTTCCCTTCATTTTTTAATGGTTAAGGGACGCTCAAGGAGTTAGTAAAATTCAAGAACAGTCGTCTAATTGTCCATGCACGTGATTTATAATTGTCATAGTCTCATTTACAATCCATACAGTAATTTTGTCCGTAGAACTGTATGCGATATCCACATATTCTCATATAGAAAATCCTTCCTCTATATTTAACACTCTTTCTGTTCTAAAATATAAATATTTAAATAAGTGAATACTAGGTTTAAATAGTAGACTTAACGTGCTAATCACTCTTTCAACGACTTATGATACGACGTATATACTTGTCAACAGCGGGTAGGGATGGGCGCGCATATATGCATGTATATATGAGAATCTACGAGACTACGACTATAGTAGTGTGCTTTGAAAATAAAAAAAAAAAACCTTTTGCTTATAGAGGCTTAACACCGCTAGTCCGCTATAGTTTACATGCTCCAAACACACCAATTTCGTAAGAATCTATTTGAAATTTTACTTACAAAGGTATTTGATGCTTTCTATTTACACTTGAAGTGAGAAAACATTAAGATCACTTGTGATATTCTTCTGTCGTTCTTCACTTTAAAAAGTTGCGAAACTAATATTTTTTTCATTTCACAATACAAGTCATTATAACATTTTCCACATTTATATTGATGTTAATGAATCTAGACAAATAATATAAATATAGAAAATGCTATAATGATTTATATTGTCAAACGGAGGGAGTAAGATTTTTTTTTTTCAGTGGATAGCTGAATAATAACATGGGTTGAGGGGGATGGAGCTTTCCGGTGCCGTCACGCAGTGAATTTGAAAGCGTGGCCACATGTATCTTTCTTCAATGTTACCCACTAGCTAGCTTCACCCACACAAAACTGGAAAGCAACGTACATTGATCGTTGGAAAATGCTGAAACTACAATTAAAAGCTTGGTTTCGAAGCTGGGAATTTTCCGTATTCGTAATTAGTGGATTAAACTGGATATCTTGTAGAAGTCGCTATATTAATTAATTTTTCCAGTGAAATTCTTTTTCTTAAAAAAATGCGGTCTAAACTTCAGCGTGATGGTTTAATTTAAAGATGACGTCCATATATCAGTGCAAGAGCAACGAAATATATGTGTACAAGCTTATGAATGCAAAGGTTAGTGCAGTGGCAGGCGTGCACGTTTGACGTTACAGCTCCCGGGTTTAACTCAAGAGGAAGAAATCTCTCTCTAACCGCTTGCATTATTTGAAATGGAGTAGTAGGTAGGACCTACTCCCTTCATCCCAAAATATAAGCTATTGTCAAACTTAGTACAATCTTCAAAACTAATTTTTAACTTAAAATTTCTCATATATAAGGTTTGTTGCAACAAAATTATAATCATCTTAAAGTAAATTTAAATGTTAATCCAATAATTTAATTTTAACAAATAAAATTTAATTTATATTATAATAATTATTGGTCAAATGTTTTTAAAGTTGAATATTGAAATGTGTGCACGTCTTATATTATAAGATAGAGAGAATAAAAGTTAATTAAGCCTAATTTGATTTATACTTATTAGCTGTGCATGAGTGTACCATCTTACAGTTTAGATCCTCTCTAGACAAAATAAGATCTGCAGTTTTTTTTTTTGTTGGCACAAGATATGCAACTGTATTTATTTCAATACAAGCCTAGAGCTCGTGCGTTACAACGGAAAATAAATTAAGTTTCTAGCTTATTAAATTAGTTAATAAGTACTTATTTAGTCTAAGTAGTATTAGGATTTATTTTTATTGAATAGGTAGGGTGATTTTAAAATTTAAGAGAAGCCTGAAAGAGCAACTGCCGTCCTTACCAGAATCAAGATATTTTACTGCTAAGGGCGGCAGTTGCTTAATCCTTTCTGCTGGGACGGCAGTTGCGTGCAAACGCTTTATTCTGAAGATGATTGTGACACCAAAGTGTTTGCCCAATCTTGTGACGGTGAGTCGGTGACCTTAGCATAAGATTAATCATAAAAATCATAAGGTGTTGGTGGATGGTCGAACATATCCATCCACGGTGTGGAGAGAACACTACTTTCAATTTGGCAATCATAGTCTCCGATAGGGACCCTACACTGTAATTTACTAGTTTTTTTTTACTAACATGTAATTAACTAGTAATAGATCGATTGTTTGTTTATCTAGAGATGAGTATACATACCGATCATGAGTGGCATTGATCGTTTGTGCTGGGTGTCAGCAAGCTGCACGGTCCTTCTGTAGCTGTAGCAAATCATCTGTTCTGTGTGTGTGGATCGGGGCTGGCTGGTGCCAGTGTAGCTAGCATTACCGATCAGACTTATTGTATCTATTATAATTCAACTAAATTTTATTTAGTTAAATTAGAATGAATGAATTGTCAGCGGGTCGATTTGTGTTATCCCTATATTTACTGACATTTTGTTGTCTCTCGCTGCTGTATTGGCTGATCCAAGTAAAACTTTTTTCTTTAAGAAAAAAACACTTCGCCAACCTTAAATTTATGTGTAATAATGTAATATAGAAAAAAAATATAGATGAACTAGTAGTAATTGATCAATTCCGGGGGATAAAATTACTAGAAAAAAAATTATCTGCTCCAGTGATGAATATGAAGAATTCTCCCTCCGTGGGTGCATTTCTCCACTTCTTCAGCTGTGAAGAAACTGGGCCTGACCATGTGGCCCATATCAGGATTGGGCTTACGGGCCTTTTTCTGGCCTTGCATCACTTGTATTTCTCCGTCGAGCTCTTCACAGAAATTTCACTGCACGGTGAAAATGCAGCAACAATCTGGATTTCAGCTAGAGTAGAAACGCTATGGCTCATCGGAATTAACAGCGTAATTGCGTGCTTTTATCCCAAAACCCTAGAGGATAGATGGAGAGCATACTGTTAATCTGCAAAAGATTGAAGGAAAATAAACGAAAGGATGTTTATGCCTGTCTTAATTAGTGTCCAACCAAAACACCATACGAACTGAAAACAATAAATCAAAATGAAACTAAAAGAAATCAAATAATTGCATGCAGTGAGCTTGTGAAAACTCTGGAAAGAAAGGGCGTAAAAAAAATTAAAAGGGGCATTCCGAGAATTGAACTCGGGACCTCTCGCACCCTAAGCGAGAATCATACCACTAGACCAAATGCCCTTCGGACGTTTTAACTTTTCACCTTGCCTTTTTAACTGATGCGCACATGGTAGGTGGTTGAATGCTATACTAACTGAAGACCATTATCAGACAGATAATAGAGACGGTTTTCAAAAGGCAAATGTGGACTATTTAAGAATATTGTTTTTACACCGATAAAAATATAAGAAATGGGCATTGTGTTTCCATAAATCGGGCATGTTTTTTCCCCTAAATAGCCGAATGATTTTGTGATGACTATTTGAAGGTACAAACGAATGAATTAACTATTGTGAAGTTGAAAAACAGATTTAAAATTTATATATAGAAAATATTTTGTTGAAAATGGCACCGTTTTAGGAGCTCACGAAGCATGTCGCATTAGTCCGTTCTTCCATTGCTTAAAAAGAACATGCTATAAATGAGGTTTTTAATAAGTCAATTAAAGATTCATGACTTGACCGAATTAGGTGATCGAGACCAAAACTAGAGAATTGGTAGGAATATACTATTTTGAGGAGTTAATGTTGGCCTGTCTCCCTCTCTTCGAAAACAATGAAATTTGACTTTGAGATTGTGCAGAATATAGTATAGAACTTCATTCCATATACTCCTATGTATATATACTGATTGAGAATTTTGTCTTTAAAATGCACACACAACAATTATCAGAAAAATGCACACAACTATACGCTCGGGTCCCATTTGCCGTACTCTATGCATCCGGCCAACTGCAATAAGTTAATTACAACTGGCTTAAGATGTCAGTTTTTGGCAACTAATTGAATTGTATCTAACTAATCCATTTATGGCTCTCTGTCAATGTTGATCAAGAGATATCGATCATCTGTGAATCAGACACCGATCTGCTCTTAATCTCCTCGATCGAGCAATCATTAGAAGTCGTCGTTTCCATGTCCAAGACAGAATGATCGATCGAGCTAGCTAGGAAAAGAAAATTCACTTATATATATTGCTAGGTAGGCATCAACAACTTGTACTGTACAACTATATATAACAATAATATTTGTGTCAAGCGCCTAATTAATTCTCCAGCTGCAAGAGCAAATCACTGTCAATTGATCTACTTGCACGACACTACAACGAGCTTAAAAAAACAATTAATTCATCATAATTAAGTGCATCAAGATATATTTACAATGCCGTGCAAGAAGTACTGCACAAAACAATTAAAAAACCACATGGATAATATCCCATATCATGATATGGTCTATGCTGTAACAAAAAAATTAAGTTGCACAAGCAAATAAATTAAGGACAAGTAATCGCAAAAAAGGATTAAAGAAAAGGTAATCATCTATGTATAATCAGATGAACAAATCAATAGAACACAACTCGATCGACCTCTTCCCTTGCTGCAGCCATGGCTCATGCGTGTAGAGCCATGCGAGCAATTAAGGGAAAATTTTGTAAACCACCTAAATTATCTACAATTTTGATGAACTAATTAATTTACAAGCCTATACATATGCAAACCAAGATGATTTTAAGCTCATTTCGGAATTTCTTTTTCGATTATTACGCCGTGCAAGTGCAAGGTCGCGAGAGGAAAACCCTAATTGGCGACCATGCATCATGCACAGCGACTGCGTCGCCGTCGCCGTCGCCGTTGCTCCGGTGAGATTTGTATCATTATTGGTGCTGCGACGGCAGCGGCCCGAAGATGTCGAGGAAGGCGGACGGCGAGCCGAGCGCCCCCGGCGCGCCGACGGGGCTGAAGAAGTGGTCGCCGACGTGCTGAAGCCAGCCGGCGCCGGGGGAGACGAGCGGCGCGGCGGCGGCGGCCTCGCCCTTGAGCGCGGCGCCGCGGAGCGGGCTGAGGTCGTTGAACAGGAACCCCGTCGACGGCGACGGCGACGGCCCGGCCGCCGCCGCCGACGACGGAGAGGCGAGCTGCTGCTGCTGCCGCATCGTCGCCGTCACCGACACGGACACGGCCGAGCCGCCGGCGGGCCGGTTCAGGGCCCGCGCCTTGACGCGCACCGGCGGCGCCCCCCTGCGCGCCTCCCTCGGCGACGACGACGCCGCCTTCTTGCCGCCGTCGCCCGCGGCCGCCGCCCCCGGGCCGGTGAGCCGCTGCACCAGCGACATGAACTCGTGGGCCTCGACGTGGATGATCTTGGGCGACACCATGTAAATGATCACCGGCTTCCGCTGCTGCTGATGCGCCGCCGATTTCCCGATCTTGCGCGACGCCGCGTGCACGCCGAGCGCCCCGCCGGCGCCGTCGAAGCTCGCGGCGGCCATGGATGGATCGAGGACGGCGGCGGCGGCGGCGGAGCAGGTGGTGCAAGGTGAGGTGGACACGAAAGAGATTTTGAGTGGGACAGCAAGAGGCTAAAATGGGTCGCGAGGTGCAAGTGAGATATATAGATAGAAGAGGGGGAGGCAGCCTTGGCAGCATTAGCCATTAGGGATTTAAAGAGCGGCTTGGTCAACTTGAGAAATCGAAGGCGACAGGACAAGAGTGATACTGCGTGGCACGTGCCACTCGGTCCATCCAATGTGTTCGTATCTATGTTGTCAAAGCTGTGCCTGAATTGCATTCACGGGGCTGCTCGTGTAATATTTATCTACCGTCGTCTTTTCATAGTTTAAATGAAATATCTACTGTTTTTTTTCAAGAAAAAAATCTCTACTATTCTCGATAAAATGTTATTGACTTGTCACACTTATTCATTCGTTATTTAAGTTTTGTAAAATACTTTTATAATTTTTTTATGAAAATACGTGTTTGGACTATATAGATACACCAAACAATATACTATAAGACTGTTTTTAAGTTAATCCTCCTATGAGCAGGTACAGTAGCAAACTATAAGCCAGCTATAAACACATATCGAGGAGATGAAAGAAGAGAGAGATGAGCAGCGAGCTACAAATTTATAGACAGCTGCAGCACATGCTCCAAGTCACAATGTGTGTATGACAAGTGGGACAAGATATTAATAGTGTAGTATATATATTTATACGTAACTATTATATAATTTGGCTATCTATTATATTATTAAAGGAATAGAAAAAGAATCCTCCACGTTCGCTCTCATGGCCTAGAAATTCTCACATTAATCGGAGAAAAAGAAAAAACAGAGTCCATATAGAAATACAATTTAGAAATAGTTGAAATTCGGAATTAAAATATAAGGAATATTAGAATAGGAGACTAGAGTCCATATAGAAATACAATTTCGAAATAGTTGATATTCGGAATTAAAAAATAAGGAATATTTGAAGAGGAGACTAGAGTCCATATAGAAATACAATTAGGAAATAACTGAAATTAGAAATTAAAAATAAGGAATATTAGAAGTAGAGTATAGAGTCGTAGAAATACAATTATAAAATAACTAAAATTCGTCATTAAAAATAAAGAATATTAGAAGTAGAGGATAGAGTCTATATAGAAATACAATTAAGAAAACAAAATAGAAATTTGGAATTAAAAAATAAGAAATATTAGAAGTAGAGTATAGAGTCCATATAGTAATTTAAAACTAACTAAAATTTGGAATAAACATAATAAAATTAAAAGTAGAGTTTAGAGTCCGTATAAAAATACAATTTATAAATAACTAAAATTCGAAATTAAGAAAAACATGGGAAGAAGAGTTTAAAGTCAATATAGGAATACAATTTAGAAGTAACTAAAATTCAAAATTTAAAATTAAAGAATATTGAAAGATGAGTTTAGAGTCCACATAGAAATACAATTAGAAATAATAAAAATTCAGAAATAAATATAAATAATATTGGAAGAAGAGCATAGAGTCTATATAAAAATACAGTTTACAAAAAATTCGGAATTAAAAAATAGAAATATTAAAAGACGAGTCTAGAGTCCATATAAGAATATATATAATTTACAAATAACTAAAATTTGATATTAAAAATAATTAATAACTAACACGTATATAAAATACAATATAAATATTACACATTAGTATTTTTGTAAAGTTATTGCAAAATTTATAATTATATTGTCATTTTAATATATTTGAATAATATAATGAGAAAACATATATGCTATTATTTGAGAGAAAATATAATGATGCTAGCCGCGCAATCTGCGCGGGCCACCATGCTAGTTAAGTTAACTATAGATGATTTGGAGCTAGTAGTTGGGTATACTATTAAACTTGCTCTAACTTCATCTCACTCGTTTTCCACGTACACGTTTTCCAAACTGCTAAGCGATGCATTTTTTTAAATCATATTTAATCTATTTTAAAGGTTTTTAGTTAATACTTAATTAATCATGCGTTAATGCATATTCTGTTTTGCGTACGAGAGAGAACACACTCTAAGTAGGAGGAGTAACGGGATTAACTTTTCAATCTAGAAGGATTGTGTCTAAAATTGGGTGTGTTAAATTTTTATCTATTTGCTACTAAAAACATATAAGGGGCTATGTAAGATTATGAGAAAGACCCATAGATCTTAATCCATTACCTCTCCTAACTAGACATGCAAACAATGTGATTATAGCCGTTTTAAGTTTCAGTACATAGACCACAAAATTCCGACCCAATCCACCGTACCTAGCTAGCTAGAGCAAAACAAAATATTCAAACTTCATATATAAATGCTCTTCTTTCTCCACACATGCTGGCGGCTAATCACCAGCGAGCTAAATGCAACGCACAAAGCGTGTACACCAAAAGCACGTATTCGTCCTACCACTACTAATCTATTCCCAAGTTACAAGCAGAGATAGACGACATTATGGTCGGCCACACCAGATCCCCACACACGCGCACAACGCCAACATCATGCAACCAACATTTTTGACAATGGAACAGCTAGCACGTATACGTCCCTCCGGCCCCTGGGCCCCACCTGCAGGCCACAGGAAGGCGAGACGGGACGAGGAAGCAGAGAGGCAGAAGCCGGCTGGCCGTCGACGTGGCATGAAAATCTCCCCGGCCATTCGTAGCGCCCAAAAAGCGATTACAAAACCGCCTTGAGATAGAGAGAGAGAGAATAGAAAAAAAAAACGGCCACACCCCTCTTGCCGTTATTTTACACTTGATGTCGATTTCGCCCGGTCTCACGCTGGCCCGTCTCACGTACGTACGCCATTGGCCGCCCGGCCGGCCTGTCGATCGGCTCGGTTGCAAAGTCAGCTCGATCGCTGCTCACACACGCGGAAGCCCATCACTCGTCGACCGGTCCGCGCGCGACGATGACGACGAGGAGCACGCGATCGATCAGGTCGAGCCGCTCGTACAGTTGCATGCGCGTGGTCGGCTGGTCGCTGCATTGGCGCGCGGCCGCAATTGGGATACTGCACAGTAGTGCAGAGGAGGGCGAGCGTGTGCCGTCGTCGTCGTGGCGGAGGGGAGGGGAGGATGGCAGGATGCAGCGTTGCGCGTGTGCGGTGTGGGTTGACGGTGCGATTTTTTCAGAACGTTTCGGGTCTGCGCGTCGCTGGTGACTGGGCGGGTGGGGGTGCATGCATGTACGACTACGTACTAGCTGCTAGGTGGTAATGGTATACGAGTGCGGCGTGACGAGAGCGTAAAGGCCCCGCTCCAGAAAAGTAGCGAGGACGATGCGCGGAAGCTGGTGATCGAAACGGAGAAAAATCATATGGAGTAAGTACGTTGGAGTGCATGCGCGATGGAGCTCACGCGCGGTGTCCTTCTTCCAGTTCTGCTATTAATCTAGTACTTAGCCAAAACCAAACCGTTAGACCTATATCCAACATTTGGTACCTCGAGATATCACATATTGCAACGCACGTACACTCGCATATGTACAGTACCGTACTGTGCGCATCAGCTGCGCGCCAGGAACAATCCAATTCGCCGACGCGTTCGCGCGCCCATGCAACCACAGCCACAGAGAGGTCGACATGCAGTCGACACAGAGTTGGTGGTGGGGAACACGCACGTATAGTAGCCGGACGCGGTCCCGCTGTACGATCTGGCCGGCCGGCGCGCGGCGGCGTATACGGCGCGATCGCGCGCGCGCGTCAAACCGTCAAGTGGAAAAGTGTTAGCAGCAGAAAAAGGTTAGCGAGACCGCGGGCACGAAGCGGTTTCTTTTTTTGTTTGTATGTTTTTCGAGTTTTGGCAGCAACCGAGCCTTGAGACGAGGCCAGGAGCAGACAAAGGGTGCCCACATTTGCTACTTGCTCCATCCAAAAGTCTAGCACATATTTTTATTTAATTTTATGATTCCTTTTGTCATATTTATAGTCTATATGTACTAAATTAAACTGTTAACTGCAACCCAAAAAATCATCTTAATCCTTAGAACAAGTACTATAAGATTCTTAATGCTATCCTTAAAAATACAACATATGACAAAGTGATGAGGTGGAAAAGAGAACCAAGAAGAGGGTGAGCCACCCCTTATGCTAGGGATTGAGATCCTCTGACTTTAAGTCACTGATATATGGGTCCACTATCTAGAGAGAACATATGTCAGTGACATACGTTAGAAGGAAGTAAGTCTGAAGATACTCTTCCTTATGTCTACACATACTCAAAGAACAAAATAAAATAGTGTGAGAATGAACCAAAAGAAATATTGGGGTTTGTATGTTGGAGGTAAATTGTTGTACATGTTGCCTCTTAATCAATGAGTAAATGATATGGCTAAAATTGGAGGTAGCAGTCAGCTGCACTATAAAATTTGCTCTTATTGATTACATGTATGTATATAGTTTTTTGGTTTTGTCACAGTGGATAAGTTAATTTCTCATTGGTCTTGGTGACAAATGAAATATGACTTAGACTTTTCGATAGAGGGAGTATTGTGGAAGGCCGGGAGAGACAGTGTTGGATAAAACAGGGCCTTGTTTGCAAAGTTAGATATATCTGAGCATTGACCAACTCTTCCCTTATTAAAGTAAAACCTAATCCCCGAAAATGGGTTTTTCTATAAGAAAAATGGGATCCAACAATTATCCTATTGAAGTGAAAAGAATTTAGAATCCCCAATCATTCTCCACGTCTAGGGAATAGCCACATTCTCCCAAAAAGCCGATCGCATACGGGAGGAGCGCGATCGATATCGGTGCATGGAAGTTGTGCGAGCGAGATCGCCGGCGAAGAGAGGATGGCCCACTTTATTTTATTTTAGGGAGCTAGGTTTAGGCTATATGTTGGAAAGAAGTGTATTTTAAATCCTTAAATTCTTATTAGAGGTTTTAAAAAGAGATTTAGGGGATAGAACATTAGATAGCTGTTGGTGATGCTATAAGAAGAGAGAATGGAAAAGTTGGTTTTTCAATTTATTATTTTAGATTTTATGATAAAGCGATTACTGTGAGGTTTGATCCATACGAAATAATTCGACACCATTCATCGCTAACCAATGAATTCAACAAGTTGGCGCATGTATAAGAAAGTGCTTGAAACTTTTGAAATATCACTTTTTGTCCATACGTGATGATTTGACTCAATTTGTTTCAAACATACTAGGCTGTGTTCAGACGTTGAAGTTGGGAACTAATGCCTCACGCATGAAAAACGAAGTGATTCATCAGCGTTATGATTAATTAAGTACTAGCTATTTATTTAAAAAATAGATTAACATGATTTTTTTAAAGCAACTTTCATATTCTTTTAAGAAAAACAAACCGTTTAATAGTTAGGAAAATGTTAGTGCGAGAAAAGGTAAATTGGGAAACTTAACTCCATTCGTTGATGGAGTGTAACGGTAGCTGAAAATTTAGCATCACGTGTCCACCTAACGAGCCCAAGTAATTGCCCGGGTCACTAGGTGGTGGATCCACCCCTAGCAGCGATCATGTGAAAGCAATGACTTAAACTCCAATAAAACACATAGAGGTGGATGGGTGGAAGTGGCAAATTTAGAGGGAAGCCATGGGCGCGGCAGTGTGTTGAGGCTAGCGAGCATCTATTGGATCAAGGAGACGTGAGCGGTGGTGACACTCTATCTACATGCATGGTTTACAAAACCGTGCGGTTATCATGGTTATCATGTGTGATAACATTTTTCAAAATAACCTTTTTCAAAACCACGGTATATACCTAATGGTAACTGCATGGTTCACGGTAACCATGCAGTTACCGCAATAATCGCTAAAGTGTGGGATTGTTACCGCAATAATCGCTAAAGTGTGGGATAATAGTAACCCTAACCAAAATGGTTTACTGAACCCTACCTATGTGAAAGATTCGATAAAAGAGAAGAAAGGGATGTTATAGGTTTATAGATATACATGGACCACGAAGCAGTCTTAGCAGTCCCAAAATGACTAGAAAGCTGAGGGCTCGTTATTGTTTTTTTTGTGACGTTAGAAGTTCAGATTTCGGAAAACCTTCAAGAAATTTGGCAAACCCAGCCCCTGAACCGGTCAAAACGAACATATTCAAACTTATATTTTATTAAATTTTACGACTGAAACCACCTAGTACAAAACCGCTTATCGCTGTTCATGGCCCAGTTTTTTTCTCCTAACTAGTTTTTTTTTAATTCTATTGACTATTGTACCTTGCCCCAACAAGTACTATTCAATGGACTGTTTATCCCTGTGATGTTGATGACAAAAGTCAATACCCCATATTGCAATTTGCAACAAGTAGTTCATATGCGTACACAGCACATGTGGTCAGAACCAAATGAGAAGCCTACAGCTGATGGAAAATACAGTATTTCCGTTTTCACCCAGAACTGCACCTCAAAGTTGACATATATAACCAAGCACTAACAAATACTACACAACACGGGTTAAATCGGAATAAAAAACGTCACTGGTGAGCGAAGATTAACCTAAAGCAACCGCACTTTTTCCGTAGCTTCGGAGCTGCTTCAATATGTATGCAATGCAAAGGCAAATTAAACACAGCCGCCAGGTGCAGATCGCGCTCATTGCTAAAGATTAGCAGGTAAGCTGGTAAAGAGCACAAAAAAGATTAGCAGGTAAGCTGGGTAAAGAACACAACTTAACACGTCTTCCCAAGAAAATTAATCAGCAACAGCTGAGCGAGTACCTTGTTTCAGAGATGGCCATCACTTTCTCCCGGTTTGACAATGCAGCAGCAGCAGGAGGCATGAGACATGACCTGACTCAGACTGTTGCTCTTCCTTGCGCTTGGCCCAGCACAACCATAGAAGCGTACAAGAAAACGCCCAACGTGGAGCTGCAAGACCAAGTCTCTGGTGTTAACATGTTGTTAGGATAATCCACTTTTGACAGGTTCCAAGAAGATACCTTGTCACTTTAAAGGCGTCTGAGATCTTCATCAGATGTCGCTTTTCAAATTTTGATTGAATTCCAATGGAAGTCACTTACTCACCTTCAGAAATGGCTGCAAATGATGCTCCAGGATGCAACACAAGTTAAGCATTGTCAGAAAAATCCTTTATGAAGGACACCCGGTTGTATATTTACCAGATAAAATGCAAATTACCTCGAGATTTTATTTGCAGTAACATAAGATTCAGTCACCTAGTATGGACAGAAGCAAGCATGGAACTCAACCTCCAAGTTGGAAGCAAAATCTAGGATTCGCCAACAGTGCATCAATATGAATAATATGGAATTGTGGATAGTTCTATGAAAGACTCACAACTTATAAGTCATAAGAGTGCATCACCTTCAGATGCAGTGCACACATCTTAAGGTGATTTGAGACTGATGAGTGATGAAGATGATGACACAACTAACATGTAAGCCAAATGACAGTACAAACCATAAAAGAAGAATATGTCAACTCCCATGTTCTTGGACAAAACAATTATTTTCATGAATTAGCCTATCAGCAGCTTGTCCCATTTCTCTGAATACATGTTAGTTGATCAGCTTGCTACACAGAAGATTAAAGCTGCAAAATACATCATTGGAATATCTTGTAAGCTTATTGGGCTAAACTGAAGGTAATAAAGAAAAAGTGCCACCTTGACTTCCACAGAAATAATTTTAGAAGTGTTCACGGTAATATATGAAATCCTTTGTGTGGTTTGTATCATACACAACACACACGCACAGACAAAAAGAAGGAAATGGACAATTGGACAAATATTTATATCAACAACTTGATAAAATAGTTGTCATACATTATCTCCAGCACGCCACCGTCCTCCCTCAAGTTGACTAAAAGAATTGAGAAGACTTTTAGAATTGTTTTGATGACATTGTGAGAAACAAAAAAAAATAAAGAAGGCACATCATGCCTTAGTAACAGTATTATATAGCCTCTCTCAACATTCAAACCTAAATTACTATAGCATCACTACAAACTTAGTGGTTTGGGATCAATCAAAGGTCAAAATTTAGAATATCAGAGATGACAGATGAGATATACAAAGAATAGACATAAATTCTAAATTCCTAATCATAAATAGCACATTCTATTGTAATGCAAGATGCTGCTTTGGGTAGGTACTAGAAAAAGTAAGGAGCTAACTGAACAATTTGTTGGTGTAGATATTTGGGTTGGTTTGAACCTTGGATCAAAGATCAAGATTCACTAGGTGTAGACCATTCCATGAAGGTCATGATCTCTCATGAGCTTCTTCCAATTTGCATACAAGCTCACGAAAGAGCTCTGCAATCATTCATGGTTTTTGTGGTCCTTATGCTCTAACATAAAAAAACATTTTCTTTGTTTCATTCTGTTTTGTACATAGGTGTGGCTATACAATGTATAATGTATCACAATGTTAAGCAGCAGTTAGTTAGAGACATAGTGATGTAGAAATGTGATACTGAGCACTGTCATTTTTCAAGTATCTGATTTGTTCATGCGTACACAGAACATCTGGTTCCGTCTTTTGCACAAATCAATAGACCCCACTGGCTCACTGTGAAATCCATCCACATCCAGACCACTTCTTATAGTCACAGGTAACCAAATTGGCGCTATTAGTAAACTATTCTACACCGTGAAATCCATCCAGATCATATATGAGCATTTGAACTAGTGTACACAAATTCCACATGATTAAACAATTATAGGTTCGTCCAAAATCAGTCTGTGTGGTAAATGTGGTGGACAAACAGGACTGGAGAATGCACTATGGTTTCAGAGAAACAATATCTATATGTTCACAACCAGTATAACTACTGGGACAACACACTTACAAATGTATGTACAACAAACCTGTGAGTTGTGACAGATTAACATTATTTAATGCTTAGTCCAAACCACGTTGGGAAACACAGATACAATAAGATTTGCATGTGCAGGTTACTATTCATTAAAGCCATCAGGGTTTTCAGATTTCATATAATGGCGAAACTTTACATCGCGACAAACTAAGCCTCAATTCACCGATGTTGATCATTCTTTTTGTTAATAGCAGAATGCTTTAGATCATGCTTGTAAAGAAGCAATTGCTTTATTGTGCTCAGGTCCCATATTATGATTGAGTAACAATGGATGAAACTCTCACGCACCCTAGAATTTGGAATATTGATGTTGGACAGGTTTCTAAACTTGTTGCAGATAAATACATGAGAAAGACTAACAGGGGAAAAGGCTAAGTAATAATGATTATAGAAACAAATCTTACTAATTTAAATACAAACATAAGATAATCAGATGATATCATCTAGTATGTCTATCTCATGGGCCTATCCGGGATCACATGCCGCAATGTATGAACTGTGGCAATTCCATAGCATAGATCAAATGCCAATTGAGCAATTGGAAGCTGAATTGTGCGTGCGATCGCACCATAAACAGCGGCGCGGAAGAGAGCTCACCACCTAGAAGTCCATCTGCAGCCACTTCTTGTAGTAGACGCAGGTGCTCGGCGAGATAACGCCATCCGGCGAGCACTCATCGATCCTGGGGCAAACTCCACACGGGATCCTCTCCATCATGCCGCCCTGCACCGGGCCGCCCCTCCGGTAGCACACCCTCCCTGCCCTGAGGTCGCCGAACTCCCCCGCCCCGGTGCTCCTCACCTCCTCGACCTCCCTGTCGAGCGCCATGGTGCGCAGGATGTCCCTGACCTGCTCGGTCGAGTAGGCTAGGTTGGAGCATTCCCTGCTGATGCCCTCGTGGATGGACTCCGCCGTGGCGACGCCGAGCTTGTCGATCTGGTCGAGGCACCTGCGCCGCGCGGAGGCGACGGCGTCGGAGTCGAGCTGGCCGTTGCGGTACCAGGTTCCCCCGGTGATCTCCGGCGACGGGTCGATGCGGACGTCCATGTAGATCTTCTCGGCGCGCTTGTGGACGCTGTTGACCACCTTGAGGACGCCCTTGGAGGTGAGGCCGCGGAGGTGCTTGGTGAGGGTGCTCGTCGGCATCCCGGTCTTGATCCGGATCTCCGTCTGCGACATGCCCTTGTCCCCGCCGGCGAACACGAGCTTGTAGATGGGGCGCTCGTGCTGCGACAAGGCGGCGAGGACGGTGTCCGAGAGGACCGCCTTCGGCGGCGGCGGCGCCGCGGCGATGGGTTTAGCGGGCGGAGAGATCTTGGGCTTGGTTTCCGGTGGGGCTTCCGGCGCCTTGGCCGGCGGCGGCGGGCGCTTCCGCGGCGGCATGGCTCGTCGACGGCGACGGTGGCGGCGGCGGCGGCGGAGGAGGAGGACGTGGGGGTTTTGGGGTTTCCCACTCCGCAACTGCTCTGCTCTGACTTGTGGCGAAAGAAAATGGGCCAGACTGCATAGTGTAGCTAAATTTCATTTGGGCCCTCAAGAAAGTGAGCCGAAATGTATGTGGGCTTAATCTCGTTTGGGCCCCCAGGTTCACAAAATTGTGAAAATGGGCTAAACTGTGGGCTTAATTTATTTTAGTCCCTACAAGTTTACAAAATTAGGAAAAGGTCCATTTTGCGTCTCTCCAAATTCTCAACTTTGGTTGAAGTTTTCATTTACGTCTCAGTCTCAACCACTAAAAACAGGTATAGAACATTCCTCAATTTTGTTAAACAAGTGCAAATCAAAGTTGAGCCTAGTTAGGCCCACGTTGTTGAGCCTGGAACATGATTATAGTAAACTACAAGGCTCTTGAGATCAAATAAGCATGGTCATCAAAGATAATATAAACATGATCACAAACAGATTCACTATATGATAGTCAATTTGATTGTGCAAAAGGATACAAATATCTTATTTGATCACCTAAACAGCAATACTTGCCGTCTCTGAATAAATTTTACAGACATCTTATTTTCCCCTCCAGTAAAACTTTTTTCCCATTCCAGTAAAAACTGCGCAATCAACTCAATTTCCAGGCAACAAACAAGTTCAGTGGAAGTGTGCTACACATGATGCTAACTCATAACAAGACGTTGCACAACTTTAACAAAATCATCTCCGAATCGAGATTGTCAAAATCAGAATTGTTATACTGCAACATTAACTAATTCTGTACCGAGAGTTCATGAAAGAGGATGTAGATCAGCAAAAAGTACAGGATTTAACTCACAATAGTGAATCAAAACATCTCAGTTCTGTCTGATGGTTATGATGGGTTTCTATGATTTTACAATGTATACTGAACATGTCCACCATTTTACAACTGTTAGGAATCCTGGAATCATACAAATTACTGAATATATGACAGGGGAATGAGATCCCCGGTACTATCTCCAGCAAATGTCAAGATCAAGGTCATGCAGTGTACATAACCATGTAGTGAAATGCCGGTCGTGTCATTTGGCGGCCTGCTCAATCACCGGAATCTTATTCCACAGTTCCTGCTGCTCCTCTGGCGAACTGTCGCCCTGGAGAGGTGGTAATGAGAATGCACTAACAGTAGAGCTTCCGCTTCGGATCTCCTTCAGAGACCTAAGCGCCGCGACCGTGCCCTTCATATACATGCTTTCCATGTACTCGATCTCATCTAACTCTGGAATAGTGCCACCATTAACCAAGGATGAACTGGGATTCGAAGGCTTGTCCTCGTTAGTGCTATCGCCTCTCCCATCTTCACTCGATACAGACAGTTCGTTTGATGGTAGAAGCTGGTCCAGCATGGCCTCACACTGTTTCACAAGCTTGTACAGGAGGTCAGTGGTGAAGAAAGGCTGCTGTAGCACTTTCTGGATGAAAGGCAGACGGATCAGAGCCCCAGTCCTCTTGTCATACTTCTTGAGAATCTTAACTAATCCTGTAAACAGCAACATGGAACGTAAGTATCAACTGGTGAAAATCTAAAACAAAGTACAAGAGTTACATCTTCCAAATTTCAAATAGCATCCAATCCACTTCCAATATCACAACTTTTCTTAAAGAGTTTTCCCTCAAGAGAATAAACAGGGATAACTGACATGAGCTATTGCTAGTGGTTCAATCAGACTAAACATTTTAGTTTAGGTGATATCTGCCCAAACTGATGGAAATAGAAAATACGCCCTTGTATGGCTTACAGGCTGTGGCATCTGTCTGTCTGAGGCACCAAAACCATTTGTAACTTGTCACATCCCTAGCTAATGAACCTGAATTCTCGTGAGGCATGGTCCAGTAAATTTTCATATCAGGAAAGCTAGCATGGTAGTGATGTGTAAAGGGTACCACATTGCCACTAAAGGAGATGCTAGTCAATTTGGTTGAGATAGGATAACATTTCATATTGCAAATGATAACCAGAAAACTTTCAGACAGTTGTACAACACTAATATAGTTTCTTATTCGCATAAGCATACGAAATAGACCAGCATGATATGAGCAAAATGGCAGCAGAAATGTATTGTGCAGTTGCAAAGCACCAATGATGGTTATTAACAGTAACACATTCCAGTTCAGGGCTTCAGGCATATAAGAAGCATGCAACTTGCATTCTGTTCTGTTGGTTGAGCAAAACATACTAAGCTTGCATGATGCAAAACAACAAATTTACTTTTTGTGTGACATCCTCATCTTTAGAATGTGTTCACATTCGAAAAGTCGACTCCCCAAATTAGTGTGTGTTAACCTGGCCCAATATAGCCATATAGGTCTGTGACACCATCAACTTGCATCTTGCAAAGGAAAAACAGAAAAAAGCAAGATGCTGATACAAAGAGTGGTCACAGGTCACTGGTTCACAGTACGTCCACCGAAACCATTGTCCACAAGCACATAATAACACAGTAACCAAGGTACTCATTAGCCTCAAGTTCATTGCAGCTAGCAAAAAACTGACTTTAAAAAGTAGTCCACTAAAGAAGCACTAGGATGACGAATAGCATGCAAAGTTAGGACCATCAATCACATCTCAGCTAAGCATAAAAGAGTCAACTAATGAAGATCATGAAATTAGCTACACAAATTTCTGTTGAGCAATACCATATCTTTAGATGATATGCAAAACTAATTTCTTTTATTTTCAATAGCTGGAACGCAAATCACAAACGTAACATGAATTGCACTTTCTTGTTTCGTTAGGCATGACTTTTAATCAGAAGACTCGTCAACTGATGAAAAATATTTGGCAATGAAGCATGTGCCCCCGTTTACCAAATATGTATTTTGCGCCGTACTAAAAATAAAAACTATAAATGTCTTTGAAATAGTTTATAACATATTGCAAAAATTAGCCTGCAAACTTGTCTACTACAGTATTTCAGGCGTGAATGCTTCCTGGGAATTTAGAACAAGTTAATTTATTTATCTAACTGCAGATGACTGTACACCCAACTTTTTGCAAATTGTGCATATAGTATTATTAATGCATCTACGGAATTTCAGGCAATCTTTGAAATGATGCATAGTGAATTTAATTTTGGATTTGGTGAGGGGAGGCATACGCTGCCCTGCTTACTAAATCAATATTTCTAAAACAACTATGGAGCTTATGATAGAAATGATGCTCTAACATCATATTCAAGTGAGTAATTTTCGTCCCAACTGCCAACAGAAACCGACCTAGATTTAATTGAGTTGTATGATTAACCTGTAACCCCCAGGCTAGGAATGAAAATTTCCAGATATTAGAAGCCACTCACAATCTCACATTGATAAAGAGGAAAATCAACCACTCAGCATTAAGGCATAACAAAGGCCAACCGAAAAATAGCAAAGCAGTACAGTTGTACATCATTACTTTGCATATGCACTGCATATGCTGCCAGTGGACAGGTAAGGAAGCAGATAATCTACCAGACTACCATGGAACACTGCAGTAGAGGGCAAGGTCACTATACTATACTACACACTACTGCATCATCATGTGAACCCTGAATCAGACTGTATTTTTAGTGAAAAATATTGCCAAGATAATATCTGATACCAAGTCAATTATTAGTCAAATATTTCTTGTAGAAACTTCTATGCACCATTTGGTTGGTGACGAACTGTATTACAGCCTGTTGAAAAGGATAAATTTTTTGACCTATTTGTTTACAATTGTTATATACTACCTCCGACCCAAAATATAGCAACTTTTGGCTATGAATCTGGACACAGTTGTCCAAATTCATAGCTAGAAATACTTATATCTTGGGATGGAGGGAGTACCTTCTTATAGCGAGTCAAAGGAAAATCTGTTCACGATAGAAGGATGCATGACACACTGTTACCATTTCAAATTGCAGCAGAAAGGAACAGAGTGCTCCACCATAAACAATGTTAGCACTCATGTGGCCATACTATAAATTGCTTGTCTCGCACGAGAAAACAAACTGTTTATATACAGTGCCCCCAACATTAGCTGCTGAGCCCAACCTCAAGTATCCATTCATCAATAGAGAGCAAAAACGTGTGCGCACTGAATTGCCATACAAGGATCCATTCTCCTTGACAGCGACACGAGTGCTGCGTAGCGGACATGCGAAACCATAGCTGCCCACAACCACAATAAGTCGCCTATTTCTTGACCTATGTTCAGGAAACTTCCATTACTCCTGCCTGCTCTATGATGCGTGCTAAATTACCTTTCTGAGAACACTAATAAACTACTATATTAACCAATTTTTTTCTACCTCTCTTACTACCTCCCCAATCAAAAAAAATTCTAATAAGGATACTAAACTACTATGTTAACCAGTTTTTCCAACCTCTCTTATTACTACCTCCCCAATTCACAGAACATTCCAAGAAGAGTTAACAAACAACATAAGCAACAGCTAACGAACCCTTTGCAATAATATAATTAGTGAAAGACATGTGAAAACTGAAAACTACGGGTGTTGCGATGCGGCGGGTGGGGAAGTGCGTGGACTGGGACACTCACCGGTGTAGTTGAGGGCGCTGTAGTTCTCGAGCAGCACCATCTCGCCATGGAAGTCGACGATCTCCTTGCGCACCCGCATCAGCTCCTCCTTCGACTCCCTCCCCGCCGCCCTCGCCACCCTGTCCTGCAGCTCCTGACACACACAGCGTCGATTTCCCAAATCAGAACCAAGAAACTCGAGAAGAAGAAGAAGATTCGAACCGAAGCACAAATGGCGATCGATCACCGCCGCACCTTCTGGCGGATGATGTATTCCTCCTCCTTCTCGACGAAGAAGGAGTTGAACTTGTCGAGCTCGGCCTCCAGGAGCCGCATGAAGCCCGCCTCCTCGGGCGTCATCGCCGCGGCGGCGGCCTCCTCCTCGCCGCCATCCGCTGCAACGCGTGCCCGCTTCGCCTGCCTCTCCTCCCCACCCCCACCCCCACCAATCAGCTTGAGCCGCTTCTTGAGATCCTTGTACGACAAGAACTTGTCCCGCCACTCCGGGAGCGTCTCCACGATCTGGCTACTCAGGCTCTTCCCAAACTTCATCCTCAACAACAAGAGAGAAGAAAACTGCACAAAACTGCACTACGGCTGCCAAGAACCGATCGAATTCTCGCCGCGGCAGCGGTGGAGGTGGTGGTGAAATAGGGTTGAGGAGGAGAGGGGGGAAAGGGAGGCGGAGGATATGCGGGGGAGAGGAGGAAGGAGACGATGGGAATATTCGCGGGGGAGGATATAATTGTGTTTATGTGCTCCGTTCGCTTTCGCTTCACAAATCACAAGCGGGGGAAGGGGGATTGGGGTTTTTTTTTTTTTTTTTGGGGGGGGGGGGGGGGGGAGGGGGGCGATGGTAGGGGCACACGGCTGGAATGTGGTCCAGACTACTATTCCTATATCCTCGTGGGCTAGCCGCCTGGCCGGGAGTTAAAAAGTCTATGTTTATTCGTGCTGATGGATCTGTACTATATGAGAGCGGTCCAGAATGTAAGAATTATTTATGTGATTTTTAAATGGTAAGGAGCTAGATATAATAGAGTTTTTGACTTTGAGTCAGCAATATGCGACGAAGCAGACTGAGCTATCAATTTTTAAATTCAGTTTGATACTCAAGGTCGAAGTCCATTCTTTCATAAGAGATGGGATTGAACCCCTAATATAGGGAGTATAATTGTGGCTATTGAAACAAAGCCATATTTCCCCTGGACAATGCAAACATAAGACTTGCTATGTAATTCATCTGTCCTAAAATATAAATATTTTTAAATCTCGACACAGTGTTCGAGATACTACTTTGATAAACAATATCTATAAAAATAAAATGTTTTAAATAAAAAGAGTTGCATATTATAATAATTTGATTAATGATAAATCTAGTAACATCAATTTGACATTATTGATCTTTTTTATTTTTTTTTGCTATTAATAGTCAAAGTTAAAAAATGGTTGATTTGGTACTATGCTGAAAATGCTTATATTTTAGAACGGAGAGAGTACTAACAAGATAGATAGAGTAGTTGTATATATATATCACAATATCAATCTTTCCCTCCAAGCATCTACTCCATAGTTAACTACTCCCTCCGTCCCATAATATAAGGGATTTTGAGTTTTTGCTTGCAACGTTTGACCACTCGTCTTATTTAAAATTTTTTGAAATTATTAATTATTTTATTTGTGACTTACTTTATTATCTACAGTACTTTAAGCACAACTTTTCGTATTTTATATTTGCAAAAAAATTTGAATAAGACGAGTGGTCAAACGTTGCAAGCAAAAACTGAAAATCCCTTATATTGTGGGACGGAGGGAGTACTTACCAAACTACGTTATAATCGTTTATATATACACATTACGGTGCTACCTAGTTCACCTTTTAATAATCAACAATTTTTTTAAAAAAAATAATCAAAAATTTCAGGCCCTGTTTGACCATGTTCGAAGGGAAATATGTAAACATGCAAGTACAAATAGCTTTAAGAAAATACTAATATGGGTTAGCACTTGGAGCTTGGAAGTCGTATGTTCTTGAGGAGAGCTAACCGACTTGTGATTTTCTTTTTGTTGACAGTATTATTTAAGTAGCACTCTACTGTCCATGCAAAGATATCCAACAGAATATTCCTATAATTAATTGTCATGCGTCTTGCAATTTGACAAGGTATAGACAGGGAGCTGAAACAGCCATAGTGTATAAATACCAGATCCACTAAAGAGTTAGAATTATTAGTTGAATTACTACACTGTGCTAGCGTCAAAGTGCCTTTTTTTTTCACCGACTTGCCTTTAACTAATTAGAATAATAATCCTTACCCAAATATGTTATTCACTTTTTCCTCAATATATAAACATCAATAAAACATTTTCACCACATAACAAAAACACAGTCTATTTTGAAAGAACCGATACATATTCTATATCACTTTCATTTTGTCATATCACTTATGTAGCCCATCTTAAAGTTTCTGTCAAGCAACTCAATAATATACGACTCTTCTTTTTTAATAGCCATTCATATGACATAGTATAAAACTTGTGAAGCGCGGACGCGACGACGCTACATGAGTATACTACTGGCCATGAGTAAATACTCGTAGCTATCTGGGAGTAGACAACTAACCCAACCCACCGCATATATCAAGAACTTATTTTAAAAAAAAAACAACCAACATGGGAAACACAACCTGAACGGCGCAGAAGATCCGCAAGAAATCCCTCAGCCAAGTACAATGTACTCCGTACACGCCATGAGCCAAAATGACCTGCAGCCATGGAAGATTCGGGGCATAATCCTTTGCTCGCGAGGGGAATATCCATCCGGATATGTCACAGATCCTCTGCACGTCACTGTCGCCCTTAAAAGCCCATGTCCTCTCTCTCTCTCTCTCTCTCTCACTGCCACCTGGAAATGAAAAAAAAAAGCCTATGAGACTTGAAATTATCTTCTGGATAGAGAGAGAGATTATCGTGGTCGTGTACACGAACTTTGCACTCGAGCAAGTGATTATTCGATGTCTTTTTAGTGTAATGATTCCATTTTAAAGTAACTAATCCTAAGCTAAGCTGAGTTCTCTCTGAGTCTGTGCGCTCTACAGTATGAGCCACTCTTGCATGCTGGAACAGTGATGTGTCCAAGAAGTATACTTTTGGATTCGTTGGAGGAAAAGTTGAGTGTTTCTCATGAGTTCTTGTGTGTAGTGGCCCACGTGGCACCAAGTGACTGTCTTATTATTTAAAGAAAGGTTGGGTGGCTGTCCGAATATTTAAGGAAGAGATTAAAGTTAGAAAAGATCTGAAGCGACCAATAAATATTGGATTAGTTGAAGACAGTGAAGTGTTAGTGGTCGGCCAAAAAAGTGCATGTTAGTCATTGGTCGGAGGTGCGGTCCATCCGACATGATCATGAGATATTATTTTTTATCTCCTGGTATAGGGAAAAGTACACATGACCATTGGTCAAACTTTTGGTCCATGTGGAAAGACAACCACATACGGTCATAGTTTTATTGCTTTTGAATTGTTATTTGACAAGTGGTTGTATGATATGTTATTTGTGCTTTTATTACGGCACACTCATTTTAAAGTATATTTGCATAATTATATGGTTATGTCGGGAGTAAAATATTTAATTGATATGGACACATACTATTTACTAGTATTATGGCATAGACCAATCCTTTTTTGGTAGCACAAATTACCACCCTTTCACTTATGTCAGTATTGTAGATGATAACTTATTGCATTGCATTGTAGTATTATGAAGGATTTGATCGTTCTCTATGCAAAACGTCATACATCGCATGAGTTTTATCATACAATATAGCACTCCGTTCATGTTTAAAGATAGGTGGAACTAATCATTTATTAAACTTGACCTCTCATATTTTCTTTCTTCCAAAACAGATCTACAAATACTTAAAAGAGACCGATGCTCTATAATCAAAGTGCATTGTGTCGTAAACATAAAACTATGTATTCTAACCACTACTACATGAAAGATTTTTCCGTGCGGGTGGAATCAATTTTCGCGTGCGTAGCTTCCACCCGTCTGGAACGTGGAGTCTGTGAAAATCCCGATTTTTTCGTGCGGGTGATGCACCCGCACGTGCGGACGCTTAAGCCACCCGCACGAGAAAATAAAAAACTGAAACCGAAAAAAAAATCAAAATCCACCCGCAAACCCTAATCTAGCCGCCGTCAACACCATCGCCGCCGCCATTGTCGCCGCCACCACCGCCGTCGTCGCTGCCTTGCCCGAGGCCTGTCGTCGTCGTTGTCGCCGCCACCACCGTCATCATCGCCGCCTTGCCCGAGGCCCGCCGATGTCGTCCCTGTGGTCGCCGGCGATGGATCCGGCCTCCCCGCGGTGGCAGACCATGGATCCGGCCTCCCCGCGGCGGCCGGCGACAGATCCGGCCTCCCAGCGGTGGCAAGCCACGGATCCGGCCTCTCCGCGGCGGCCAGCGACGGATCCGGCCTCCACGCGGCGGCCGGAGACGGATCCGCTCCACCGCCACCACCGTAGCCAATGCCGCTGCCGCCGTACTCGCAGATGTCGCCGCCGCGCCCGCCAATGCCGCCGCCTCCGCCGCCCTAACCGAGAGCGCCGCCATCGCCGAGGAGGAGAGGGACAGGGAGAGGGAGATGGGAGGAAGGGGAGGAGGGAGATGGGAGGATGGGCAGGATGGGGAGGAGGATAAATGGCAGCGCTCGCATGATGGGAGGATGGGGAGGAGGATAAGAGGGAGATGGGAGGATGGGCAGCGCGTGGGGTAGGCTATTTTCGTGTACGGGTCACTTAACAGGCCCGCACGTGAAAATAGGCTTATTTTCGTGTGTGGGCCTGTTAAGTGATCCGCACACGAAAATTGATTTTTCTATGTGGGCAACGGCCCAGCACCTGTCCCCATTTTCCTGTGCGGTTGCACTTATGATCCACCTGAAAACAAAAAGGGTCTAGTGTACGGGAAAATCTTTCATGTGAACCATTTAAGATTAATTGGTGGTCAAGATAAAATTGTAGCTAGAGCTAACATTTATTTACAAATTTTTTTTTCTTAATATACATATATTTATAATTGGTAAAAGTCCAAATATCCCCCTAAACTTTGGATGAAAGTACATCAACCTGAACTTTAAAACCATACATCTAACCTCTAAACTTTATAATCATCCCCTAAGGTGATTTTGGATGGTGGTTTTTCATATTTTGGAAGCTTAAATAAACAACTTTGGATAACTAATGTAACATATTTGCATATCATCAATTGTAAGTCATCAATTTATACTTATACAATGATACCATACTATTATTACGTTGGTACTTGTTTGTAAGTGAGAGCTAACAAGCGATTAAAAAGAAAGATTGAAGTGAAAATTTTAATACATATGTCTAATGTGTATGTCATATGATCAAACTCATCCAAGTTATATACAAATTAGATATAAACAACTATACAAAGCCACCTTAGGAGATAATATGAACGATTTTGCTAAATCTAGGGGGTTGGATGTCTGGTTTTAAAATTCAAGGTACTATACGGACTTCTATCTAAAGTTTATGGTGATATTTGGACTTTTGATTTTGTCTCCCAAAAACGAACATGTAAACAATTGTAAAACTTCAATATCACTTTCTTTTAATCTATATCTTTTATTGAAAGAGAACACTTCTAATTAAAAAAACACCAGCATACATAGATAGGATACGAGAAATGTGTTAACTTAATTAGAAGTATTTCACTAC